CTTTTTATCATTTATAACTATTTATAGTGATACTCCAATCAGGTTTTTTCGACATTTATTCAGGGCCTGAATTTCATTTTTGAAAATGGGGGGAATTCCCCTCTAGGTGACTCTTGTGAGAGAAGCAGTTTTCACACAGGAGTCCACTACTGATCCATGGCTGTTTACCACAAACACAACATTTATCCATTATTTTGATCTCAAATGTAAACATTGTCACTGAAAATGCTTTTTCAGCATTGCAATTCTTTTTTTTACACAGTACAGTAATACACAGACATGTTTAAACACAATAAATATAAACAACACATTATTCAATGCTTTTTAGCTTTAAGCATTATAATTATTTCACCCGCGCCGGACAGAGACTGAGATGGTGCGCTGCATGTCGTGCCAAACCTCTCACGGCAGCGTCATCAGCTTGAGATCGGCTTTTTGAGATCGGCCTTTTAGAGACCGCCGATCAATCATCCCAACGTGATTATCGGCCGATAGTGATCGGAGCACCCCTATTAAATATCACTGTCTTACTACATTACTACTTAATGCAAACCTTGTAAAATAACTGGCGGTCAGTAGAGGAAAGCCTTGTTTTGCCCTCCATGACGTCACGTGAAAACCACGAGTTGAGTGAGGGAACTATCACGTCAGAATATGGAAGCGTAATTCGCCGTGGGTTCCTTCCAGATTTTGCTATCGGGTTTTATAATGGGTTTTTATCAAAGAATGAGTAAAATAAAGCCTGTGGTAAACATAACTTGACGATACTTTTACGTTTTGTTCTACAATGTAAACTGCACACACTCACAGCCCAATCGTTCTTATCTAGTTACTTTTCAAAAATGAACATAACTGCTTCAAAAGTTGTGTTTTGGGTATGGATGCGTGTAATTTATGTTGTAGAACAAAACGTAAAAGTATCAAGTATGTGGGGCGGAGCTATCAAAATAGGGGCAAGACCCTTTTGGGGTAGGGGCGTGTTTGTTTTGGTGATTTCAAATATAAACATTGGCTACCAGAAATCCCTTACTCTGCCTTTAATTGAAAAACCCCATAGAATTACGCTTCCTAGTTCCCAGTCGCTAATGAGGCATCTACATACACAACTCTATGGTAGAAACATCGATTTTTTTTAATGCGTATTCTATGCAGATTTGATCTAAAATCGGAAGATTAGTTGTTGTATGCATTGATTAATATATATTATTTTTAATGTAGGAAAACCGCAAAGATGATGGCAAACCCCAGAACCTCTGTGTTTTAACCAGGATAGTCAAATGTTTAATAGTTTATATATTGAGATTGTTGGATCTGTGCGCATTAAAATGACTCCTCCTTCAGTCACACACTCACTCTCACACAAACACACAGGCACACACACACACGCACACACTCACACTCTCACACACACACACACACACACACTGTAGAACAAAACGTAAAAGTATCAAGTATGTGGGGCGGAGCTATCAAAATAGGGGCAAGACCCTTTTGGGGTAGGGGCGTGTTTGTTTTGGTGATTTCAAATATAAACATTGGCTACCAGAAATCCCTTACTCTGCCTTTAATTGAAAAACCCCATAGAATTACGCTTCCTAGTTCCCAGTCGCTAATGAGGCATCTACATACACAACTCTATGGTAGAAACATCGATTTTTTTTAATGCGTATTCTATGCAGATTTGATCTAAAATCGGAAGATTAGTTGTTGTATGCATTGATTAATATATATTATTTTTAATGTAGGAAAACCGCAAAGATGATGGCAAACCCCAGAACCTCTGTGTTTTAACCAGGATAGTCAAACGTTTAATAGTTTATATATTGAGATTGTTGGATCTGTGCGCATTAAAATGACTCCTCCTTCAGTCACACACTCACACACACACACGCACACACACACACACTCTCTCTATCTCTCTCTCTCACACACACACACACACACACACACTCTCTCTATCTCTCTCTCTCACACACACACACACACACTCACACACACACACACACACACACACTCACACTCACACTCACAGTCAGTGAACTCCGCGTGCGTCTCTCGCGCTGTGATAGTCAGTCTCGCGCTCGGCGCGTCTGGAGAAACAGCAGCGCAGCGCGCTTCCTTGAGAAGCGATGTGATTGACCTGCTCTTCTTTTAGGAGGAACCGACGCTTCGAGACAGTAGGAGAACCGAACCGGACCGAACCGACCCGAACACTTCCACTGCGCGTGCGACACGCGCCGGACGCGGAGCGATGGATTCCTCAGCTCTGCGCTCGCGGGAATACACAGGTGTGTCTCTGTCACCTGCACAGCATTCCTGGCATACAGAGGTGCGCGATGTCAGTCTCATGTCTGAATGAATCGCTTTAATTGTTTGTTTTATAGTGGAACGAGCGTTATTAAAAGTAGTGTGGTGGAACATACAGCGATGCATCGTAATTCTCGGTTATTATGGAACTGAAATACAATGGCATTTGCCTGGTTCTTCAGTGTGCGTAAAGAAATACCATGCTACTATCAGTAGTATCCGAAAACCATTGTTAATCTGGCTGAGGTCATGATTGCTTAGTATTGATTCTTGGAAGAAAGTAGTAGTACTATACTTATATATATATACTATTGTATTGAATTATTTCCAAATGTATGCACCATGGTTTTTGCATGGTACTCCAATATATGTAAGGACATACCATTGAATAATATAATAAACATGGTGGTGCCATGGTACAGTATCCAAAAAACACTAATGTTTTATCTATTTATTTTTTTGCTGAGGTCATGGTTGTTTAGTATGAATACAAGAAAGTAGTGTAGTAGTACTATGGTACAGTGATGGTAATACCATGGTACTTTGATATGATTCCCTTGGTATTTGCGTGGTAATTTCATCTATGTAAGGAAATACCATGGTATCTAAAAATCATTGTAGATTTTGCTGAGGTCATGATTGTTTTGTATTAATACTTACAGGAAAGCAGTACTATAATGGCACAGTGATGGCAGTAATTCCATTGGTTTATTTGGGATATATATATGTAAAGAAATACAGCGGTACTGCCAATAAAACATGGTATAGTGCTAATCGCTTTCTTATTGAGTTAATGTTTTTCTATTGATACTTACAATAGTGTAGCAGTACAGTGGTGGTTATACCATGGTACTTTTTGATTTCTATATTTACATATGGTGTAGTAGTACTATACTTATATATATATACTATTGTATTGAATTATTTCCAAATGTATGCACCATGGCTTTTGCATGGTACTCCAATATATGTAAGGACATACCATTGAATAATATAATAAACATGGTGGTGCCATGGTACAGTATCCAAAAATGGTACTTTGATATGATTCCCTTGGTATTTGCGTGGTAATTTCATCTATGTAAGGAAATACCATGGTATCTAAAAATCATTGTAGATTTTGCTGAGGTCATGATTGTTTTGTATTAATACTTACAGGAAAGCAGTACTATAATGGCACAGTGATGGCAGTAATTCCATTGGTTTATTTGGGATATATATATGTAAAGAAATACAGCGGTACTGCCAATAAAACATGGTATAGTGCTAATCGCTTTCTTATTGAGTTAATGTTTTTCTATTGATACTTACAATAGTGTAGCAGTACAGTGGTGGTTATACCATGGTACTTTTTGATTTCTATATTTACATATGGTATTTGCATGGTGGTCTAAGGTGCTTAAAATAATACATGTCCAATAAAACATGATATTACTGTGGTACCATGTCCAAAACAGCCACCGTCAATTATTGTTGTATCATGATTGCTTTATATCAAAAGTACTTTGGCAGTACAGTGATGGTGTCAGTTATTGATGGTATTACTATGGTATTTTGATATATATGATAGTATTGAATGATTGTTATATTTATGTGCCATTGCACTCCAAAGTAATAACATGGTAGAGCTGCTCTGAAAAACAGGGTATCACTTTTTTCTGATATTGAAGATTGTGTTGATTATTAAAAATAATACTGAAAATAACATTACTTGCATATTAATTGCAGTACAATTTTACTTTTTTTTTTCTCCGTTGTGTTTCTTTACAGTATAAGTAAGCATGTTTGGGAGCAAACAATGACTTCCTTGCTTAAATGAGGATTTTCTCCTTATGGGAATTCTCATGGATTCTGTACAGTATCAATTGATTAGCGGCAAATACTTTTTGTTTTGTTTGCCTCTGGTAGATGCACTTAAAGGATTTCTTATATGCCAGTTCAGCAAACCCATATAAATGAAGTAAAGTGCTTCATAAAGTAGGATTTGCATGCTTGAAACTTGTGCAGATGATTTGATATCCTGAGGTATTGAGCATTGTGGTTTCAAGTGCATGTGCAAGTTATTTTTAAATGGGTTTTTTTGTTGCTTAATTCTCTTTATTAATGTCTCTGGAATTCATCAGCATGTAATTGAAACCGGGATTGTTGTGGCGCTTTGTCTCGGGCTGCTATTTAAGGTCTAACTGGAAAGCATGCACGAGCAGACGTGTCAATCCCTCACGCATCTGATAGTTTACTCAGCCATTCGTCACACAGGTAGAAGCGATACGCACTGCATCAATCCTCATTTGCGGGTGCATTCGGTTTAGCCCTGTCTCATTGTTGAAGTCCGACCTGATTAGACGGGCCGAGATGTGACGGGAGCTGTGAAGGTTAACCATTAGTGGCAAGAGTGTTGAGAGAACAGGAATGGATATAACGGACAGCCTATTCAATACTCTTCTTCAGAGACCCTGAGAGTCCTCTCCTGGCCTGTAACCCGCTATCATCTTATATTGAGCTGTTTAAGAAAGGCTGAGTTTGGTTCGGGGCGTTTTGCCACAGGCCAACCGGTTCACCTTTAATTAAAAGAACGAGGTGCTGTTTATTTTTGCATTCCCTCCGGCTCGTCTCGGGAAGCCTGGCGGCTCGTGCAATTTTACCGAAGCAGGTTTTCAATTAAGTGCAAATGTTTTAGATTGCCTGGGTCCCGAGATCAGGTGGCTGTATTGCCACTGTAATGGGTAGTAAATGTAAAGATTCCTGACTGTGCCACGTGCGACGCATTTGTAAGTATTGGACTTGATCTGTCTCCAGGGGAAGCGTTAAACCGAGACGCACGTCCCAGCGGTGCGAGACGTCCATGAGTTGACTAAATGCTTAATGCAAGGAGCTGTCGTGAATGCCGTAGGAATGCATCAGATGTCCAATGCTTTGGCAGAAGAAACCAAACATGGCTGCGCTTCAAAGTCATGGCTTATCATCATACACAGCTGCTGATTTGACTAAACAAGACTATTGAGAACCCTGTTTTTAGGGTTGTGCTTTACGGCATTGGTTATATCAAACCATCACTTGCGTTAGATAAAAATTTGGCCGGATTATTGCTTAAACAACATGGATTTCTGAACCAAGAATGTGGTCGTGTGGGCCAAGCGACAGACCGAACCGAGTAAACTTTACTCATTATTTTTATAATTCACAGACTGCTGAATGCTTCACAGTTTTGTAGGCAATCAAACGGCATTTCTCCTGTTTTGTTTACTTGGAGAGAATGAAAGAGTGCCAGAATTGACATCAGGGGAAAATGAATCACATTTACTTTATTAGATTAAAAGTTTAGAGATTAGAAGCGCTAATTACCTAATTACAGAATGAAATTCGCTGCGTTTAAAAGAACACGCAGCGCTGAATTGAAAATGGCAACAAATGTATTCCTCTGTAAAACATGATTAGAGAGCAAAATGCATTAATAATGCCAGCCCGAACATAAAGATGCAAAGCTCTGCGTCCTTGATAAGATCAAATAATAATCCTTGTGAGTTCGTGTTCTGCTCTTTTGGATTCATTCGAAAGGAAGCGTTTTTAGTTATTTGTTTGATTTCTCCATAATCGCCTCTCATTTTCTCTTCCATTCTGTTAGAGACAACTCAAGACCGATATTAATATTTGATGGGATGGTGTTAGTTGAATTAAAAGAGGAAAATTGCTAGCTGAGGGAACGGCACATTGTTAAGCATGTAAATGTATTCTGCTTTTTGGGAGAGAAAATCTAGACATCTTTCCCCTCAGGAGGTCTACGAGCTATCATGGTAACACGCGCAGCTTTAATGCGTGCCAGATTCAATCTGCAGGCCTTAATGTCTGCTGAATAATTAATATTCTCCTGCTGGAGTTAGGATGTACAGTTGTTATAGGAGCAGATTGTGTTTCGCAGGGTGTTGGGGTGTTCGCAGTACAGATGTCTGCAGTTTTGGCAGAAATCTTGCCAGCCGCTTGTATTATTTCCACTGTTTTAGCTCGTATCTGCTTAGGAAATTAGAGGTATAAGTTTCACTCTTGGGTGAAGCTCACATTGAAAGGTCGTATTTCAGTTCGAAATCCAAAGAAGAAAAAGGAAATTATATTTTGCATGAAGAAAATGCATAAAATAAATACTAACATGAAGTGTTTCTGTGGGTCTTAAAAAGTATTAATTCGCACTCCCACAAATTAAGGCCCTAAAAATGTCTTAAATCAGAGCAGAAAGGTTTTGAATTTATAAAATCATGGCATTAAATGTTGTATGCATTGCAAAAAAATGTATATCTTCCTCAGTATTTTTATTAGAGGGTGTTGGGGTGTTCGCAGTACAGATGTCTGCAGTTTTGGCAGAAATCTTGACAGCCGCTTGTATTATTTCCACTGTTTTAGCTCGTATCTGCTTAGGAAATTAGAGGTATAAGTTTCACTCTTGGGTGAAGCTCACATTGAAAGGTCGTATTTCAGTTCGAAATCCAAAGAAGAAAAAGGAAATTATATTTTGCATGAAGAAAATGCATAAAATAAATACTAACATGAAGTGTTTCTGTGGGTCTTAAAAAGTATTAATTCGCACTCCCACAAATTAAGGCCCTAAAAATGTCTTAAATCAGAGCAGAAAGGTTTTGAATTTATAAAATCATGGCATTAAATGTTGTATGCATTGCAAAAAAATGTATATCTTCCTCAGTATTTTTATTAAAAAATTGCACATTATATTTTGCATGAAGAAAATGTATAAATTAAATATTAACATGATGGATTCACGGTTTTGCGGGTCTTAATATCTTCCTCTGTATTTTTATTTTCCAGTAAAAATATCGAAACCATCCTTAAATCAAAATACATTTACTTGAGAATGCAAATGTAAGTTATTTTATGCTTAAAACAAGAACAAATATGCCAATAGGATATAAATCTTGTTTTCCCTTTTTGAATTAACATGATTTTTCTAAGCCCATTGGCAAATATTTGTTCTTGT